AGTCTACATTGCTAAAATATTTTAAAAGACATCAATGATCTTTTTATGAGATCCTCAATGCAGGCTAATTTTTAAGTATACTATTAAAAAACTTTGATTTTTAAAAATCTTTCCCCCTGTAACCACTGTATTTCTGTGAACTGGAAACTTCAATCAGAAATACATTTTTGTTTTCCTTATACTAAAGTAATAAACAGATAAAAACTTGAATTTTTTCATGTCATATTATCATTCAGTTGGAACCAATTATGATATTTTACATATAACTTTGAAAAGTGCAAAATCAGAAAATTTGATCACTTCAAGGGGCTCATCATTCGCAGTCATCTGTCCCTAGCCATTTATTTCATGGATAATTATCTTTTTTTTTTTTTTAGTAAAAACAAAGTGTTAATTGGTATCAATTACTCAAAAAAGAAAAACAAACCAAAAAAAAAACCAAACCACCAGGGAATATGGGTATTTCTATTAACAGAGGCTACTGTGAGACATAATTATTTCTCTCTTGTATTAATAACTAATTATTGAATCAGAACCCAGGTTTTTCCCCTTTTCTACTTCCTCATCCAGAAATAAATCAGTGTGGGAAATCTTTCTAATATGTCTACCCAGCCAGGATGGCTGAAATCTAATCAAAGACAGTAAAAGAAATTCTAAGTTTGGCTAATGGCTGCATTCCTGCTCATTGTATTTGCTCAGGCAGGTCTGGGAAAAGGTTGATTTTCCCTTTTGTCAGACCGATGATATGGAAACTGATAAGTCTCTTTGACTAAGATTTGGGTGATTCAAGGTCCTCACTGTAATATAGCCCATCCTCTCATTATAATATTCATTTTCTCATTAATTGTTTACCAATCAGAGTTGATTGCCACCCTCAGAACATCTACTCTGCCAAGAGCATACAAACTGTGAGCCCACCATCATCGAGGGTCCTTGGTCTAGGAGAGATGGCCAAATGACCATTCTTTTACTAATAAACATGCTGGCCTTATTAATAAAATGATTAAATTACTCAGAAATTATGTCTCTTGATCCTTTTTAAATGCCGTACTACAAAAGGAGTATGGTACATGGAACTGTAAATCTTCATTATATACTACTTTTTATGCTTTTATACATAATATTTAACATTTTGTAAGTGTCTTCCTTGATTGATTAGAAATTTATCTACTCATAGCTGTGAAACTTATATATTCTGCTTTTCTTCCCATTTTTAAAAGGCTGGATCTTTAATATTAAAGACATTCATGTATGTTTTAATGTGGATTTTAGAATATGTGCTGGAATAATTTGGAATATATGTTGGTCTCAACCTATTTTCTGACAGAGTACCTCCCACTTAACCAACGATATTTTAAAAATGAAATATGGAGTTCTTTCCTAAATAAATTTTGGGGCTTTATTGAATACTGGGCTACTAATACTAGAGACATTTGTACGACAATATTAGGTCTACTGACACTGTGTTTTGTCAAGGGCAGAAAGGCAGCTATTGACTCTGAAGATCCCATTACACCAATGTGTGGGACAGAGACCACTACTCAAATTCAAAACAAAGACTTAGGTACCTTGAAAGCAGAAAGGAGTTTATTGCTTTCTGGTGAGAAAGGGTACCGCCCCTGGTTGCCCTAATGGCGCCGGCCAGGCAGCATGAGTATTCGAGAGATGATCTCTGAGGATCTCTCAGGAGTGAAGCCTCCTCAAAGAATTGATCGTTTGACCTTGTAAAGAGACATGCTTTTCAACACATCTCGTACTTTATCAGACCCTCCCCCTTCTCAAACTTCTTTTTAGGTATGTAGCAGGGAGGAATAACACCGTCCCCCCTTCTAAAACTGCTTGCTCACTCTTGCAAAAACTTCCCGCCTTTTTCTTGTCTCTAGGCAACTATTCTTTTTTCTTTGTTTGTTCTCTGTTGCTGGGGAAGACTCTCCAAAAATACATTGGGCCCTTAAGGCTTGCACCAATGAGCTGAGAGGAAGGGGGTGAGGAGGAGGAGGAGTTGTGGGTAGGAATCTATATACTCTGTCTCTGCCGGGCACACCCTGGCGCTCTCCCAGCAGAGCATCGTAGGCAGACGGAGGGTGCCCTTTCTCCAGAAAGCCACTAAAGAAAACTTTCCTTTTGCTAATATCTCTAAGTCTCCGATTTATTGGTAAGGGTCTCTGGACCCCACACAAGTACGAGTTGGTTACAGAAAGCAAGGCTTATTTATGCCCTAACTCGAGATCCTTCTCCCTAACCCCCTGTCCCTTTTCCCATCGGCTGGGCTTCTGGGGGCACAATCTATTCACGGAAATCTCCCCCGGCAACGTAGGACACAAGTTTGCCCAGAGACAAGGAAAGGCGGGAAGTCTGGTAGTTTAGGATGGGGAAAGGCCTATTCTATTCTTTCTGCTATGTGCTTAAAAACAGGGTGGGGGGGGTTGACAAGGTCGGGAGGGAGTGTGTTTCAACAGTACAATTAGAAGGCCATCTGCAACAGGTGCCTCCAATTTCTCTCCTCCCACTCTTCTTGTTCTCTGGTTTCTGACCTTCTCTCTCTCCAAATGACCAGTGATCTCCTATTGCTGCCCTTTGGGACAACTATTAACAAAACTATTAACGACCATTAACCCTTTGCGGAGGCCTCACTCCTGCGAGATCATCTCTTATACCAAGTTTTTTGCTCTTCTGGAGTAAAGTATTAGTAGAAATTTAGTTCAATTATCTGGGAGAGTATTTCGTCTTTCTTTTCTCTATTCTTCTTAGGCTGACCCTCTATCTGCTATTCCATGCTGCCTCTCATAAAAAAAAAAAAGGTACATTAAATAGTTATGTTCCCTCTTCACCCCACACTGGCCTGGAACTGACTGGCTCACATCATAAGCTTCTTATCGCAAAACTGAGACTTAAATTGAAGAAAGTTGGGAAAACCGTAAGACCTTATAGATATGGCCTAAAAAACACCTCTTGTGAACATAAAATAGTCCTTTTATTTTATTTTATTTTTATTAATTTATTTTGATTTATCAATAATCACTTCCATATGCTTTTGAGTTCAACATTTTTCTCCCCCTTCCTCCCCACCACCCTCCCCAAGACGGCACACAATCTGATATAGGCTATACATTTACATTCATATTAAACATATTTTCACATTAGTGATGTTGTAAGTAAAAATTAAAACCAATAGGAGGAACCATCAGAAAGAGGAAACAAAACTCAACAGAAGAGAAAAAAAATAACAATTCGGTTTCCATAGTTCTTTCTTTGGGTGTGGATAGCATTTTCCATCACAAGGCCTCTGGAGATGTCTTAGATCTTTGTATTGCCAGGAAGGGTTAAGTTTATCACTATTAGTCATCGTACAACGTGGCTGTTATTGTATACAACGTTCTCTTGGTTCTGCTCACTTCACTCAGCATCAGTCCATACAAATCTTTCCAGGTTTTTCTAAGTCAGCCTGTTCATCATTTCTTATAGCACAATAGTATTCCATGACATTCATATACCACAACTTGCTCAGCCATTCCCCAATGGATGGGCATCCTCTCAATTTCCAATTCTTTGCCACCACAAAAAGAGCTGCTATGAATATTTTTGTACATGTGGGTCCTTTTCCCATTTGTATGATCTCTTTGGGATATGGCCCTAGAAGTGCTATTGCTGGGTCAAAGGGTATGCACATTTTTATAGCTCTTTGGGCATAGTTCCAAATTGCTCTCCAAAACGATTGGATCGTGAAATAGTCATTTTAATTATTGTTGTGGCCTAGCTATAAGCACTGAGGATTCCTACAGATATTTAATTGGGGCCTTACTGATTTTCAGGGGTAAGAGGTTAATCGGTGTGATATATTGTAGACATTTTCAGACTGTGATGCATTGATCAGTTTGAATTAAATTGATCAGGTTGAATTAAAAACATTTTTTAAAGTAGAATGGCTTTGGGAGGGGGTAAACAGTGAAATGAAAGGGAAGTTTTCGGTTATAAAATGTTAATAAAGTGTATCTTTAAAAAGGAATATGAAAATATCTCTAATATACATCCTCTAAAGTGGTTCAAAGATGTCCCACTTCTCTGTTTCCTCCTGAACTTTGTTCTGCTGTGCACATTTTAAAAAATGCTTCAGGGACTTTCATCATTTATTTCCATATTTTTTTTTAACATAATCATCAAATCTTTCCCATCTTGAATAAAAAAAAAAAATCCCCCTTTCCGTAACTGTGCAAAGTTCCTAGTTCTGTTCTCTTCTGATTAAAAAAAGTAAGTGATGTGACCTTTTGTAGCTAGGTCAACTATCCCTTTTGATACAAGGGTAGTAGAAGGTGTAAGATGAGAGGACAAAGTATGGGAGTGACCAAGGTTCTGTCAAACAGGTTTCCATCTTTCTTACTTGTATCTGTAAGGGGGAAAAAAAGGCACCAGTGTTCTGGAGTGGATCAAACAACGGACTCCTGCCTTCCCCAGCTTCTCTTTCTTACCCAGCCTGCTCCACTGACTTTACAACATGAGCTGATGCAGACTGAACAAGCAGACGCGCGAACCCCCTGCTCCCACCCCACATCCAGAAAGGATCACCAGAGGAAAGCAACTCCGGGGAAGTGACAAAGGTGCCCCCTCCCACCGGGAAGGCAGGCTCGGTGCTCCTGGTGCTCTGTCCAGCACAGTCCAGGACTGGGCGTTTTAGCTCATTTATTTTTCTTTGCAAAAAGAGAGGATTCCGTCTGGAGTGAGGGGCCAAGGGAGTTTTGGGTTTTTTTTAATCAGAAATGATAGTTATGTGAGGAAAAGCCCCAATAAGAAACTTTGTGGGAAAATAAAGTCCATGAGAAGAAGGTGGGCTTGTCACAGGAAACGCGCCTTGCTCCCCAGCACTGGGTCCTGGCTTGGAGGGGGGGGTGTGTGTGTAGTACTACAACCACGTACTACAATTCCCAGAAGGCGAAGCGCGGGAAGTGCTTGGCCAATGGCTGCCGAAAGGCTCCTCTCCCGGCCAACTTGCGGCGCTCCTGAGCATGCGTATTGGCCACGAGGGCCTCGGCACGCCTGGTTCCGGAAGTCTCCGCTCGTGCGGGCTTCCTGTTCCGGTGTCTGTCTCCACGTGGGGGGCTGAGACGGCCCCAGGCGGCCGGCCTCAGGCGGCTTCCCCCAGTACTTGCTGCCTGCGGGGGGTGAGCCTTCCGGTGCCTCGCGTCCACGCCGCCCTCGGGGATCCTCTTCCCTCGCCCCAGCCCAGTCGCAGCCTTCTCTCCCAGGCCGTCGGGCGGCCCCGGGCCCAGGGCTGTTCTGGGGCCTCAGTGGGGCCTGGGCGCGGGGCCCGAGCACGAGGGAGAGCGGCAGGAAGGCCGAGGGCGGAGGGGGCGGGGCGCGCTCCCGGCCGGAGCAGGCGGGTCTGCGGGTGGTCCCGCGCCGGAGGGAGGGGGCGCTGCCACGCTTCTCCCACCGCCACGGACCCCCTCCTCATCCTTGCTGGACTGTGAGCTCTGGGCAGACGTCCGCGTTCCGTCTGCGGCCTCTGCTCCCCGGTGCCTGCATTGTATTCCCCTCTAGTGCTCACCGCTCACTCGACTGTCCGACCATTTAGAGCCTTTCATGAGTGTTATAATAATAATAATTATAGGAATTGGGGAGAGGACGCGTTTTTTATCCCCATTCATGCAAATACTGTTCTGTACATATGATGCGGGAAATAAATGTGGTGCCGGAGGGCTTCATGACCCTACTAGGCCCGCTCACGTTTCCCTTTTTCTTCCCAGGCCTTTGTCCTTCCCCAAAAAGACTGAGTTGTGCCAAGGGAGGAATGCTCCCTGTCCTCCTGACAATCAGGCCCTTCCAGGTGAGTGGGAGTGCCCTGTTTCCTGAAATGGCCTCCTCTGGGCCATCTCTTGCTTTGGTAATAGTGGCAGGAAAGGGGCCAAGAGGGTGCCGAGAATCCCACGTTTTTTAGGCCAAGTGCTTATGTCTGTCCATGTACTTTAGTGATCGTGGCTCTAAACGTGAGGTTGTCGTCCAGTGACCAGTGAGTGGACATATTCTTGCAGGAACTGAATCCTGGTAATCCTGAGGATTTTCCTTCAAAATGTAAACGGAAGAGAATTATCTATAGGCATTTATTGTGCCTAATCTGTGATCTACTATAGTATGCAGAAGTGATAGCATCTGCCTTATGTTATGCAGAATACAGATAAATGTATGTTTTTTTTCAAAATGCAGTCAGTGCTGCTGTGGGGGACATTAACATGTGAGTCTAGCTGGGAGGGCTTCTTGAAGGAGGTGACACTTCAGCTGAATGGTGTCCTAAGCTGTAGTTTCCAGGAGGTGGAGGTTATGTGCGGAATGTGTAAGGCTGAATGTGGAGTGCTATATAATTAGAATAGCAAGCCAGCCAATTTAGGTAAGAAACCAGAGATGGATTCAAGCGTATGATCTGGGAGTTGAGGACTGAAAGGATGACCCAAGGATGCTCAGTTTAAAAGAGGATGTATGATCATGACTGGAGCCAGAGAGCAGAAGGCAGTGTGATTAGCAAAGATTCCAAGTCAGAATCTCCACTGTGATACAAATCACTTGACCATAAGTGAGCCACTTAGCCGTTCCTTGACTCTGTTTCCTCATCTGTAAAATGGGAATGATAGTAACTCCGTTCACTGCCTGCCTCATGAGGAAAGAATTTTGTAAACCCCTCAGCCCAATGAGGATCATAAAGACTGTAAGATCTTAGATTTAGAAGCAGAAGGGACCATATGGTCCACCTAATCCATACTTTCGTTGTATTCATGTGGAAAGTGAGACTTAGCTCTCTAAGTCACTCTGGCAGTAAATAGCAGAGCCAGAATTTGATCTCAGGTCTTTAGGGTCCAATATTCATTAGCCACAGCCTGAGCCTTCCCTAACAAGGATGTGCATTTTTTGTTAAGGATCAGAAACTGTTAGGGATTGAGCCATAGTTTGTAATTCAGAGTTAGTTTTCATGGTGTACTCTGAAAGCTGCACCTGGGCAGATTACCTCTTGTTGTACAGACCAGCTTCCTATTCAAAGCTTCTGAGAGGGGCAGTCCCTGGGTGAGCATGAATGCATTTGGAATTGTAGGAATCAGTGACATTCAGGGATGTGGCTGTGGACTTCACCCAGGAGGAATGGGAATACCTGGACCTTTCTGAGAAGGAGCTCTACAGGGATGTGATGCTGGAGAATTACAGACACCTGGTCCATCTAGGTAAGAACAGCTTCCCTGGGTGAGTCGGAATCTGCCTATGAGAGGGACTTTGTGACTTTCCTCAGGAAATAATTCAAATAATTCTACTATTAGGCATTGCTTAGGAGGAGAAGAAACAAAGACAAAACAGAATCTGCCCTCTAGGAGCTGACATTTCATGGGAATTTGTTTTATAAAACTAGAAACTATCATCTAATTTTGTCAGCACAGTGGAAGACACCTTCCTCACTCTCTATTCTCATAGGTCTAAGATTAGCCCCAAAAGTTCAAATGATGATACCTGAGCACATGAAAAATTTCTACCCCCTCCCCCTGCAGTGGGTGCAATGAATGAATTTTTTAATGAATCCAAATCCAGTCTTGGACGAATTCCTCTTTTATTGCTAACAGAACATGGAACATCCTTGAGGGGTCATTTGTATCCTGGTCTATGGGCATGCCTTCCCCTTTCCTCTTTTCCACAGAAAGAGAGGATTCAGTATTGAAAGCTGAAGTGAACCTTTGCGCGTCTCTTTGCTTTTTCTTATGAACAGGACTTGCCGTCTCCAAGCCGGATGTGATCTGCCACTTAGAGCGAGGGGAACCTCCTTGGCAGCCAGAAAGTCAAGTTACAAGGACCAGGTTTCCAGGTGAGGGAGAGACCATCCAGCTGATAGCTCAACTTATCCATTTGGGGGTCTAAGTGTTAATGCTGGCCAGAGAGCCAACCTGTGGCCTTCCTTGGTTTCAGAAGAAGAGGTGAGGCCCTCTGGTATGGTTCCCTCTGATGAAGCTTTATCCGCTCCTCAACCAATCCTTTCTTGACATCTCCCCATTCCTAGTTCCTTCTAGTTTTGGATACTGACATTTGCTGATGTATTTTGGGGGTATCTAGGATGAAATATTGCTTGGAGTTTCTTTTGGGTCAAAATGCTCTTTTTCTTGTAAAATGGTCCTTCACTCACTAGTTAGTGGTCTTGGGTTTATTATACACCAACATCTTGTATTCCTTTGTAGTGTTGTAGTTGGATTACTGACTTTTCATAAGTTTGGTAAGTGATCCCAGTTAGGAATTTTGTAACTACTATTTTACATTATGAGATGCCAGGCCTCCATTCATTCTAAACATTGCCTTTCAAATTGTTGACACTTTGTTCCAAGTGAAGTTTTTTTTGTTTGTTTTTGTTTTTTTTTTTTGTTTTTTTGCTTCTGCAAAATATGGCTGAGATGGTTTGGTTGGTACACCCCCAAATCACTGGATTCTTTTACGTGGTATCATCATTTCACTCTCTTCACATGGACTGTCCATGAACATCTGTCCAGTAATAAAAGGTCTTCCATTATTACTCTTCACACCAGTTTGTTTTTGTATTTAGAGAATTCTTGCATATGTGTCTAGCCAGGAAAAAAGGCTGTCTTGGGTGGCCTGTTGTGGATGAAGTGATGCTGGCTGGTGGTAGTCCCTGCTTCCTTATTCAGACACTCCCTAACTCTTCCATTAATACTGTTCTAGAGTTGGACCGGGAATGAAGCCAAGCTCATTGGTGCGGAGTTTGCCCACTCCATTCTCTTTTTTGCCTTTTTGGACATGCAGAGTTTTCTCCTCCAAAGCCACTGCAATCCCCGTTGTTCCCTTTGGTCATCCACCAGGCCTTTCAGTATGTGAGGATGCTAATGACCTGATATCACTAAGGGCAGTAACTGTTTCCCAATTTCTTGTGGTTTCCAGTTCCCTCTTGGACATTTTTGCCCCGTGTTTTTTGGTGCCTTATAAACTAATATATTAGTCTTGGCAAGAGGCAAGGATGGCAATTTTAGTTGGAAGGTGCTGTCAGAATCCATATTGCAAGGTGGTATGAAGGGAGTCGGAAAAGGGGAAGTGGAGGCTGTGAATGCCTGTGACTGGTTAGACGTAGCTAGAGTCAGGAAGACCTGAGTTCAGATCTGGCGTCAGACACTTACCCGCTCTGTGACTCTGGACAGTCACTTAACCTCTGATTGCCTCAGTCTCCTAAACTGTAAAATGAGAATCATAACACCACCTGCTTTATGGGCTTGCTGTGAGAAGATCAGATGAGATGGTGCTTAGCTCATAGTAGGCACTAAACAAATGCTTACACCCCCCAATGCAGCCCAAGTTAACATTCACTTTCGGGGCTGCCACATCTTGCTGCGTCCTCGGAGCAGGTCTGGAGTCCTCTGAAACCTCCCGATTGTTTCTTTCAGCCGAACTGCCGTCTCACCGTACCTCCCCTATTTTATACTTGCCAGGTAGGTATTTTGTGTTCAGTGCGCTAGCCTGTTGAGAACCTTTTGGGTCATGATTCTTGTCAGTCAGGTTGTATTCTAGCCTGGTTCACATCTCCATCTTCTCCACAAGAAGAGGACTAGATCCTTCATTAGCGATTTGGCAAAATTTAAGTAGAGGCACGCCTGTAACGTTTACTTTCTCCTCCAGCTTAGTAACCCGTTAAAAGAGGTTTCAGTCCAGCCTTCTGCTCAATGCAGGAGTCTTCTCTATGTCATCTTTAACTGGTGGTCTTCTTGCTGCTTAAACGTTTTCAAATTTATTTCGTTGTAGGATGGCTCCTGCCAAAAAAGCAAAAGACAAAAACGTCGTAGTTAGAGTTACATTACTAAACCCAACCTAAGTTTCCTTCTTTGGGAAAATGTAATAACTGACCTTCCTGCCTCCCGCAGTTGTTGTGCTGCTGAATGTAAAAGTATAAGTAACGACACAGATATGTAGTGGTGGACCTGTTTGTTTTCTTCCTTCAAATTTGACACTATTATTTCTTCCTGGAGGAAAAAGAAATTGCTATAAGTATACAGTAGGTGGAAATGGAAGGATATGTCTGTTTAAAATTTGTTTTCAGATTGGGAGTATATTCCTGAAACCAAGGATTCATCTCCAAAGCTGGGCATTTCTATTGAACCTTCATCCAAGGAAGAATGTGCAAAGGTTCATCTCTTTGTCTCGAATTTTACAAAATCCCTGGGGTGTGATGCCAGTTTACAGAGGCAACAGAACACTGAGGAGAAATATTCTTGGTAAGTCAACGGAAGTCAAACTCACAGTAAAATGAGAGGCCGTGCATGTTGCAGATAAGATGCTTGAGCTGTAAGACCAGTGCTTTTTGGACAATAGAAATTCCTGATAGGAAAGAGGCTTCATAAATGTGAGTCATTAAAGAAAAAGCTTTAGTCTGTATTCACACTGAAGTAAATGTAATAGAATCTAATCAAATAAAATGTTTTCTGTTCATAATGGATGTGAGAAATGATTCAGTTCTCAATTTGACCTTAAACATCAAGGATTATAACCTAGAGAGAAATGGATATGTAAAAGCCTTTCCCCACCGCTCACCCTCAATTTCTGTCAGAGTATCTGTACTGGAAAGAAGTCCTATGAATTTACGTTAATGTTTGGTAGCTTTTCTCCCGAGGTATGTAGCTTATTAAACATCAGGAAATGAATAATAGAGCCCAGGCTTATGAATATAACCCATGTAATACGGCTTCTAATCCCCACCCATTCCTTCTTTCTTGTCACAGGATTCATTCTGGAAAGAATAAATGTCTTATCTGTGGATTGTCCCTCTATAGCAAGGCAAGTCTTATTCGACATGTGAGAATTCATACTGGAGAAAAACCTTATAAATGTAGTGAATGTGGGAATGCTTTCCGTGAAGGTGTGATCCTTAATGTCCATCAAAGAATTCATAGTGAAGTGAGATCTTATGAATGCCGTGAATGTGGGAAGACCTTCTGCTCAAAGGTGGGAGTTACCCGTCATGAGAAAATTCATACTGGAATAAAACCTTATGAATGCCATGAATGTGGGAAGGCCTTCCTTCAGAGGTCATATCTTACTCAACATGTGCAGATGCATTCTGGGGAGAAACCTTTTAAATGTCATGTGTGTGGGAACGCCTTCCTGCGGAGGACAGGTCTGAAGCAACACGTGAGAATTCACACCGGAGAGAAACCTTATAAATGTAAAGAATGTGGGAAGGCCTTCTCTGCCAGGAATCGTCTTTATTTGCACATGAGAATACATACTGGAGTGAAACCTTATGGATGTCATATGTGTGGGAAGGCCTTCTCCTCTAGGAATGATCTTACTCGACATGTGAGAATTCATACTGGAGAGAGACCTTATGAATGTCACCAGTGTGGCAAGGCTTTCAGCCAGAGAGGATCCCTGACTCGACATAAGAGAATTCATACTGGATAGTAACCTTATATATCATCAGGAGTCTTATATATCATCAGGCCTCCTTTAACTCAACAAATACTTATTAAGCATCTATGATGTACAAGGCACTGTGCTAAAACTCTTAGGGATATAACACTAAATGTGAACATCATTGCCTTCAAAATAGAAGTTTAAAAAAAAAAGGAAATGTGATGAATATGATAAATGTGAAACTATCTTCCCCTGGAACCTGTAGCATATGAGTTAGTAAAAAAAATAATTCTCACAGGGGAGATGTTATATGCATGTAATGAATTAAGAAAAATTTCATTAAGAACATAGAATTTCAGAGGTAGGAGGAGCCTCTGTAGCCATCTAATTCAACCTGTATGTGAAAAAGAATTCACCCAGAAATGGTCATCTGGGCCTTGTTTTTAAGATAGCCAGTGAGAGGGGAAACATATTCCTTGACAAGACGGCCTATTCTAGTCTGGGATAGCTCCAAGGATTAGGAATTTTTTCCTCTCATTGACTGTCCATTTGTCTTTTCCTCCCTCAACCAATTACTCTTTCTTTGGCCACCAAATAGGAAAAGTCAAATTCTTTTTACGTGACAGTCCTTAGTTGTTGTGTCCTCCTAGGGCCTTCTCTTTTCCACGCCTAGCACTCCCAATTCTTTAATCTTTCCTTCTGTATTGTGAACTTAAGACCCTTACCTGACCTACTCAGCCTCCTTTAGCTTCTTTTTATGCAACTCACAAAGGAAGAGGATTCAAACTAATAGGAAACCTCATGGATTAAATTATTCCCTACCTACTTTCCCTCAATATTTCTTCCAGATTCTCTATTATCATTTGACCACAAGAGGAAAAATTTGGTTTTCACTTCTAAATAAGAATCAGATAGGTATTACAATTTAGCTTTACAAAAGAATGTCCCAGGTCACATAACCAAGAAAATGGTGTATCAGATATTTCTTTCAGTCCTAACTCACACAGGAAAAATTGTGTACCATATGAAAAGTAATTGCAACTGATTCCACAGGAGAAAAAAGATCTCTGACAAGGTAAAGGCCTTATGAATTAACATCAGATAATACTAATCTTTAAAGCTTTCATTAAGCACTTCGTTTTGACCAACCTTCAAATTTTGCAGAGGTTTGGAGTGCACAAGTGTGTAATATTGCATATAATGTATGATCCTTGTTGATGTGTCAGTTTTGTTAATTTTTCCCCCTCTTCCTCTTCAAAAAAAATTCTTATAAGAGATGTCTCTTTGGGAAGGGCAAGGTAGAGGGGTGCAGAGGGATATTTAGACAATGTAAAATCAAAAGATTTAAATAAATTTTTATTTTTAAAAGGTGAATGGGCTAAGCAACACAATAAAGTGAAAAAATGGCTGGCAGAATAGATAAAATGAAACCCTTCAATATGTTGTGTATAAGAAAATAGATCTACAAAAAAGATGTAGAAAAAAAGTTGATGCCATTTGATGTGAGCGCCATCTTTGGTTCTTGAAAGCCCTTGACATCATCTACCACTCTGCTCATTTCCCCCAGTTTGTGACAAGGAGGTGACTGTGACTCTTCTTTCAAAGTCCAACCCCTTCATATTTTCACTTGGTTCCATTCCTTTTCATCTCCAGCAGATTGTGTCCTCAATTAGCCTTTCTTGGATAAGCAGCTTCCTTTCCTATTGCCTTCAAACATTCTTGCCTCGACCATTAAAAAAAAAAACCTTCACTAGAACCTGCCATCTCAAATTTTTATTCCTATATCTCCAAACTCCTTGAAAAAGTTGTCTGTACTCACTGTTTCTGCTTTTCTTACTCCTCGGCCCTGTGCAAACCTTCTTTCAGCTTTATTACCCAACTTGAAATGATTCTTCTAAATTACCAGTGATTTCTTATTTGCTAAATCTGATGACTTTTTCTTAGTTGTTTTTTTTTTTTTTTAACCCGTCTGCTGTGTTTTACACTATTAGCCACCTACTCGTCCTGAATACCCTTATTTTCCTTCGGGGTTTTTGTGACACTGCTCTCTTGCTTTGCGTCACGTATCTGTGGCGCAGAGAACAAGAACATTTATGATTGGCATTGGAACAACGGCCAGCCCATCAGAGTTGTGTTCTCTGCGGTAGAGTTTTGGATGCTTGGCAGTTTAGTTTGAGAAAGGACCTTGGTGTTTGGTGTCTTACCCTGCCAGGTGATCTTCAGAATCTTCCTAAAACAATTCAAATGAGAGTGATTCAGTTTCCTGGTATGGTGCTGGTAGACTGTCCAGGTTTGACAGGCAGACAACAGTGAGGTCAACAAAGCGGTGCTGTAGACCTTCAGCTTGGTAGTCAGACTGATACCTCTTCTCGTCCCACACGTTTCTTTGGAGCCTCCCAAACACTGAGCTAGCTCTGGCAGTGTGTGTGTCAACCTCATCATCTGTGTACATCCCTGGAAAGTACACTAGCAAGGTAAGTGAACTTCTCCATTTGCTGTAATCAAGCAATTAACCAAGCAATGCATCTCTTCCAATCAGTTCCAGTTACAGCAGGTTGTTTGATTATCACCTTGTGAATTGTAAACTTTGAAACTCTAAAAACAGTTGTAAGTGAGTTGGGTGGTCACGGCGCTCTGCCACCTCGGTTATTTTTCTACCCTCAAATCTCGTTCCATTCTTCTGAGGAGCAGTTTTCTATTTTATCTACACAGTTCCAAAGTGCTGCCACCTTTCAGTAGCCAATGTGCTTCCCTCTGAAAGAGCTAGGACCTTATGAGAAAATCAAATACCGATTTTATATCATATATTTGACTCCGTTCTATAACTGGTTCTGTTCTGTAACTGCCTAAGCCATATTTCTTTGTCTCGGCTAAATTCAGAAGTTCATGCGTCCACAAGTTCAATTTTCCTTTCTGAGTTAAGTTTAAAAGTTGTTTGCCTATAAATAACTTCAATTGAAAGAAAAATTTCATCTCTGTATGACTAACTGCCCTTGTACAATGAGAAGAAATCTCTTATCCTTGAAGGGTACAGGTGGATGCCAGGGAGTCTCGTCTTTTCTCTCCAAAACACTGGCTGCCCTTCAAGAAAGTCTGGCCTGGTATCACTGTGACATTAACTAGCCATGTAGGTGGATGCCGCCAGTGTGCTTTCCCTGGCCACAAGATTGAAAGGGGTTGTTGGCTAGCCCTGCATTACAGACATCCATCCATTCCCTCATCTGTGACACTTTAGACCTTTTTGTTGTTCATTTGTGCCTGACTCTTCGTGACCCCATGGACTTATCTGTGGGGTTTTCTTGGCAAATATACTGAACTGGTTTGCCATTTCTTTCTCCAGTGTGTCCCCATTTTAATAGCGGTTAAGTGACTTGCTCAGGGTCACACAGCTAATAAGTATTTGGTGCCAAATTTGAACTCAAATCTTTCTGACTGCAAGTCTGTCAACTCTGTCTGCTGAACCACCTAACTGCCCCTTCAGACTTTGTAACCAGTCATGTTGTTTTCCATCTGTGATGCTTGTAATTCTTGTAATTCCCAAAACTATATGAAGGCTAATAGGCCTCACTTTGAGGTCCTTTTACTTTATTGAGGAGCTGAGAAGACCCCCTTTGTTGGTAATTGCTCCTCCTACAAATAAATTGAACATGCTCAGAACTTTGTGCCTTAGTTTACCTTAATTGCAATTGCTGCACTTACATCTATGTGATAACTGATGAGTACATTGTTGCCAGCCTTTCTTAAATGTGCTCCATTACTGGCTAGGAATCTGTAAACCTTATATTGTAATCTGTGATTCAAAAATTAAAATGCCAATTCATAGACACCATTTTCTTAAGCAGCTGTTCGCTTTAAAAATCAATGTTTTCCTTCCCTTGCCATTCATTGTAAGAATAGAGTTGAAACTACCCCTTATTTACCTTAAGTGAGAGCATTTTTTGATTGAATCAGACAATCAAAACTGTGTGAAAAGGGCCTGTATATCTCCTTGAATCAATCAAGAGAGACCGCTATGCCCTAAGGAGTTTGTGTAAAAAGAAGCTATTAGAACCAGAGGGAGAAAGTTCTAGATTTGAGAGGTAACAAGCGTGGCATTCCAGCACACTGCATAGGAATAGAGGGAAGACATCTGTTGACAAGAAGTGAAATAATGAGCATAGTCGTTGACCCTACAAGTAGAGCAGAAGACCCAGGCTGAAGGAAGTCCCAAGTAAAAATTGGCTCTTCCCAACTTTATCTCCTCGTTCTTATCCATAGATACTATGAAATTTCCTGATGTTTCATTTTTCTACTATTTCCAGTAAACTAAATTTTGCCTCAACTACAAAGAAAGCAAAGCTTAGAGAGAGATACAGGAAGCTAGGTAGGGAAGTGGATAGAGTGCTGGGTCTGGACAAATGTAGATAGAAAAGAAGAGGGTGGAGCCATCGCAACTCACAACGTAGTGGATTGCGAGCCAGCAAAGAAGGAGCAATCGGGCTGGTAGAAGAGAATCGGGAGAGAGCAGTGGCATTAAAACCCAGAGAGGAGAGAGTATCCGGAGGAGAAGGTGGTCAAAAATGTCAAAGGCAGAATGAATAGATTGTTTTTCCTAGGAGTTTGAGAAGGAGCAGAGGTGTAGGATAATAGCTTGAGGATATAGTTGGGTCAAGTGAAGGTTTTTGAAGGGTGAGGGAGAGTTGAGCATGCTCTTAATGCACCAGGCAAAGAATCAGTAGGGAGGAGTGGAAGATGAGCATGGGGAGGCGTGCGTGGCAGGGTGAGGACAGAGAACAAACTGCAACTAATACAATCTCAAGAAACGACAAAAAGCTGTTGATCAGAAAATAAACTTGTAGAGAGTCTCACGTGAGACCTAGCAAAGTCAGATCAACCAAAGACATTCCAAATGAAAATGGCAAATAAACAAATGTGAATAGGAACATATATGCAATCTATTCTTATCAGACGTAACAGTACAATCACCAAATTTCCAGACGATATATCAGTGTGATGCTATATGATATACCGTGTGAGGAAATAGAATTGGCAGTAAGGAAGAACACCAATGGAATCTGATGGGAAAGAAATTCATGCAGATTTTCAAGATATTGAAAACGGGAAAAGAATTCACTATCTGACAAAAATTGTTAGGAAGACTGGAAAGCAATTTCAAAGATACTCGGTATTGGTAAACATCTCATGCCACATACTAAGATGAGGTCAAAATGGGTACAAGATGGAATAACCGAATTAGGGGAGCATGGAATCCTTTATCTGTCAGATATATGGATAAAGGGAGAGTTTATGACCAAACGAGATGAAGAGCATTATGGAATGTAACATGGATAATTTTGATTCTATTAAATTAAAAAAAAAAAGTTTTCCACAAACAAAACCAATGCAGCCAAGATTAGAAGGAAATCAGGAAACTGGGAGGAAAAAAACAACCCTTTTTTATAGGAAGTTTCTCTGATAACAGCCCAATTTCTCAAGTATATAGAGAACTGAGTCAAATTTAGAAGAGAGCAAGTCATTCCAAAATTGATAAATGGTCAAGGAATGTGAAAAGCAGTTTTGAAAAGAAGAAATCAAAGCTATCTGTAATCATAAAAAAAAATGCTCTAAATCACTTGATTAGAGAAATACAAATTCAAACAACTCTGAGCTTAGATATCAGTGAAATCAAATTCAATGAGCCCAGAATATCGGTTTCTGCAACCTTGTGTAAGTTTTGATTACATAGGTGGGATGGGTACAAAGGAATTTTATAGAAAGCAAAAGGGGAAGGTTTTATGCATCAAAGAACAGATGACAGAAGGGGAAGATCTCTATCAGGTAAAACAGGAAACTTGCCACTAAACCCCAGAATTATCGATGATATCTCAGGCTGGAATTTGTAGTCAGGTCAGGAACCAACCAGTTAACGCTAGGTTACAGCTGATGCCTCAGTTTGATTTGGCAGACTCTAGCTTGTTATATGATCTACTTATCTTAATGGAGGTAAGAAAGTTAAGCCAGAAATTATCTTTTAACATCTGTAGGCAGTTCTTCTCTTTACTTACTGTCCCAAACTTCTTTTATGCCCACCTTCCTCTCCTCTCCTGCTTCTATCTTCATTTGGTCAATTCAACCATATCTTCTCCCAGCTTCTAATGCCTCAAAATGGGGAATCCTGATAATCAGCACTCCGTCTTTAACTTATTTTTAAAATTTATTTTTTTAAATTACATTTTGAATTGCCTTTCTCCCTCCCTCCCAACTCTTCATTAGAGAAGGCCAACATGTGATGTGGATATATATGTGGAACCATAAAATACATACTTCCAAATATCAATTCTCTGGATGTGGATAGGTCCTTTGTAGTTGATTTAAATATTCGTATCACTCACAAT